TAACTTTCACACACACACCTCTATTCAATTTATTCCAATCAAATTCAATCATTTTCTCATCTATCCATCTTTTATTTCTCAGAATAACTCATCTTCTCCATTGTTACATTTTGCAAGTTTGATGATCTGAAAAAAATCATTACAAGGTCAGTGTAATATTATTTCTTATTTTATATATATTTTTTCAGCCGTGCTTCAGGGCCCGAAAATTGGGGGCTCGAATGCCCCCAATTTCTATTTAAGGTAAAAAAAAAAAAAAAAAAAAAGGAAAAAAAGAAAAAAAAAAAACAGTTTCCAAAAATGGAAATTAGGGGGATTAGGGGCAAGTTTTTTAGGGCCACCAATCATTTTCCTTTTTTAAATATATTTTTATAATGAAAAATTTATCATTAAAAATTGGAATAAGACTTATTAGTAAATAAACTCAGTCCATAGGATTGGCCCATAATTAGCCTTAAATATATTATCAATTGAGTGTAGTTGGGCTCAATAATTATTTCCAAACATTTATTAAATAGACCTAAAAATTTGGACTACCCAGATTTTAAATTCTTATACTTTCGGGGATAGTTTTCAGTGAGCAATGAACTAGCGTCCTTGTCCAATTTGGCGGCTTTGGATATTGTTCTATTAAATATGGACTTCTGGCCGAGAGGTATTGAGAAGGTGAAAAAGTTCAATATAGTTGTTGGCGATTACTTTGGTGGCATCCCTGACCCTCGTTATTCGTTATCAAATAAGTTGGATCTCCAAGGTCAAAACTTGAGTGACATTGAAACGAGGTTTGATTTGCTGTTGAAGAGAACTGAAATTCTTATTTTAACCGCAACTGCAGTAAGTTTGAAAATTCTCTGTGATTTGGTCGACGAAGATGGTTTTGAATGCTTAATGAAATTGACACTAGACTACTTGACTGAATTGGAATACCTCATCAATACAACAGATGGGGTTCCCCAGAGTGCTTTTCCTGTGAGTGTCTGTATCTTCGTAATCTATATAATTTCAAAGGGATTACTAGCCATGAATGTCATGAATACCGACTACCGAACACGGCTTTCCGTGCATTGAAAGAGTTGGTACTATATTTCTTGCCTGAATTGACAAATATGTGGAAGGGTCCCACCCAACTTGTATGGCTCGGCAACCTGACGTCTGTAGATGTGTTCTGGTGTCATAAACTACAAACTACGTTCTCACTTTCCATAGCTAGAGATCTAAGGAAACTGCAGGACGTTCGGATAACTCACTGTGGCATGATGAAAGCAATTGTTTCAAGTGAAAAATGATTTATATTTACGAAAATTATAAAAATTATATAATTAATTATTATAAATTATTATTATATATAAAAATTATATTATTTCAATGCTTGAGTGTTGTGGGTGTGGCCATTGGTGTGTGTGTCATTGTGTGGGTTGGCTTTGGTTGGTAGTAGAAACGCCATTTCAAATGGCGTTAAAAAAAAAAAAAAAAAAAAATTCGAGCCACATTCGAGCCAAGCCATTTCGGGCCCTCAATCATTTTTCTTATTTTTATTATATTTTTCGTATGATCCTTTTTTTTAATTTATTTTAATCTCTAATCTAATAATTATCTTCCAATTCATTTCTATCTTATTTTTCAAATGCTTCACAATTTAGCTATATATTTTAACATGCCATCGAGTTTTTTTAGTGTTTGCATATTGGGTATAAAGTTTTGTTCAAACTCTACGTTTAAGATTCGAGTTACATTCAACCATCAACAACGTTATAATTGGTTAGGCAATTGTAGGATTTTAGGGTTTTGATAAATTTTATTCTCTTTGTATACCTATATGTATATGTAGTGGGGGGATTTTTTTTGTTGTTTTCTTTAAAGGGGCCTTTGAACAATATGTGAATATTTTAATAAAAGTTTGGTTAATTTCTTATATATAAAAAAAAAATTATTATTCAACTCTATTTGTATTGAAATTATAAACACATTACATATTAATGATCAAAATTTTAAAATTTAATTTGAATAAATATGTTTTATATATTTAGACAAAAATCATAGGTAAGAATTTTTTTTTCTATGATTGCTGAATTTTATATTCACGTGTCACTGCTATAGAAATATTCTTGTCATGTGTGTTCTATGGTTAAGACTTTATTGTATTTAAAATAAATGATTATATTATCATATAACATAAAGTAAAAATAAAACTAACTACGAAGTTAAAAAAAAAACAAAAACAAAAACAAAAAACGAAGTGATGTTAATTTTTTTTTTTTATTTAGTAGCTTCAAAATACGAAAGTTGTTGAAATTTACATGTTATAGACACAAAACAAATTTAAAAAAATAAAAAGTGATCCTTGAATTTTGTTTGTAATTAAATAGCTTTAGAATACAAAAACTGTTAAAAATAAAGTTAAAATTTGTATAATAAGATAACATACTTCTAGGTTGGCACTGTGAAAAAAGCACAATCATATGCATGGACTTTACCCAAGATTGGCAAGAAGCCAATCAAGATCAGCCAAAATCCAAAAGAGAACACCAATACAACAAATCAAAAACAATTGACATACTTCAACTCCAGCTCCAAACCATACAGCTTCTAAGCCAATCAACTTTAAAAAATTTATTTTTTAACTACACAAAATTTAAATTTTAAAAAATGTTTATTTTTTAAAAAATAAAAAAATCAACTTCTTTTTTCAAAATTCTAAGCCAATCAACTTCTAAGCACATAAATGTTTATTAAAAAATTATAGATAGCATTTAACTCTTATGTAATTTTTAACTTACTATGGTTCTATTTTTTATTATAGGTAGCGTTTTACTCTTATCTAATTTTTAAACTACTATTATCTCCAGCTCTTCTATATTAGATGTTTTTTAATCAAGTTTATCTTATCTAATTTTTGAATTTTTAAATTTCAACTTTGATTTTTTTTTCAATATTCATTTAATATTTACTAAATTTCCCTCTACCTCATTTTTCTAGGATTAATCTAAATTTCTCTTTCTATATTCTTATAATTTATCTTCACATTTACACTTAATTTTAATTTTAATTTTTTTTAATCTTTACCTTGTATGTACAGGATCTACTCTTACTCTTAATTTTTCAATTAAGTTTATTCTTTTTTTAGGATTTATCTGATTTTCACTTTCTATATTCTTATAGTTTATCTTCAAATTCAAACTTAATTTATTTTTACTTTTATCATATATTTATAAAATTTCACTCTGACCTTTCTTTTTCGGTTGAGATCAATCAAATCTATTTTTTAAGTACCTATGTAAATTAATATCATAGAATTTTATTATTAATTTTTAACATATTTAGTATTATTTATCACCTTTTGTTATTTACCGGTGCATAGCACGGGTTATCACTAGTATATATATATATATATATGATTGTAGTATTTGAAGAAAAAGAACCAAAAGCCCTTCTTTGAAGCTTTACAAAAAGTCAAACAACTTGTAGATCTACCACTACCGCCATCTAGATCTACCTCCCGCAATGGCGTCGTCGCCGATTTTAGATCTTAGATCTGTGAAGCTCATGAAGTCTCAATCCAATCTCACGGCCGCTGAAGTTCATTCCCGTCCCCGAAGTCCTTTTTTCTCCTCTCTCTATTTCTCTCTCTCTCTCTCTCTCTCTCTCTTCACTTCAGTCAATCTCTAGGGTTTCTTTTTCTTTTTTTTTTCTTTTTTGCGGGTAGATTGTGGTTGTTGTTATTGTTGTTGAAACAAACTGCAACAAATTTTTTTAAAAAAATTTGACAGACAAGTTAGATCTGGTTCAAATTTTGAATAGATAATAGGATAAAGCTATTCAAAATTTAAACAGATAATAATAATTTGTGAATTTTTGTGTAATATTTGAGTGCTGGTGGTGGATAATTCCAACAGATAGAAAAATTAGTTTGTGAATTTCAAACAGATAGGAAAAATGAGCTTCCAAATTTGAGTAATAGATAATAAATTTTTATTTCAACAGATATAAAAATATTGAACGGATAGTAGAAAAATAAATGTTGAATAGATAAAAACGAATAGATAGGAAAATATTTGAACATATAGTTAAAAAATTGAACAAATAATAATCTGGACAGATAAGAAGAAAAAATTGAACAGATAGACAAAAAAATTTAATTAGATAGAAAATAATTTGAATAGATAGATATAAATTTGAACAGATAGTCAACGAAAAGTCAACAGATTAAAAAAATCAACAGATAAATTAGGGAGTAAAATTAGAAATAAAATGTCCTTCAAAACTAATAAAAGGACTTCTCATTAAACTATTTCACAAGAGTGAATCTCTCATCAATAAAAAATATTCACTGGAAATAATGCCTTAGATAATTACTAGAGTTGACTTTTCAACAATTAACTCTTTTAGAAATTTACATCCCGCTCTTTTAACAAATTATTTATTTTATTAATAAATCATTAAGTCAATTAACTATTTTTAATGATGTTAAAAATATTATTTCGGTTACCTATTGATTCTTATCTAGTTTATTTATTTATTTGAATAACTATAGTGTGTTTGATTTCAGTTTTCTCAATTTAATTTTCTAAAAATTGAATTTTTTGTTTGTTGTGTTTTATTTTTTATTTTTAGTGAATATTTTCAAAATTTTAAATATTTTTATTTTTATTTTTTTAGATGCACCTTACTTAGATATATTTAAATAGTAAAATATTTATGAAAAAATATTTTAAAAATTAATATATACATAAAAATATAAAAAAAATATACTGAATTTTTGTATTTTTGTTTTATATTTTTGGTATTTAATGAATTTTTTAAGAATTTTTTCACAAATATTATGTTTTTAAGTATATTTATATTAAGTGTGTCTAAAAATTAAAAAAAATTATTAAAATATTAAAAAATTCAGTAAAAATAAAAAAATAATTTTTTTTGAAAATTATTTTCTAAAAATAACAACCAAGCAATCTAAACTAGAAATTTATTTTTCTATTAATTAATTTTTTTCTTCTTCTTGTAATATGAAGTCACCGTTTCGAAAAGGCTACTTCACACTCCCTGTCGCCCCTTAAACCCTAACCCTCCCAAGTTTCCCCTCAGTCTGGTCTCTCCTTGCACCTCCATTACAATTCTTCTTCTGCTTCTTCAATGGCGGACCTTGAAGCTAAGCCTCCTCTCTCCCCTTCTTCTACTCTGGAGAAACAGTTCGAGGACTTCCGTCACCGTCTGGAAGAGTCTGAAAGCTTACGCGAACGCATTCGAGCTGTCGCCAGGGAGATCGAGTCCGTCACCAGGCTCATTTACTCTTGTCTCCTCTTAGTTCACCAGTCTCGGCCCATCCCTGGTACTCATCATCACTTCCCTTTCATTGCATTTCTGTTATTTCTTGTTTATGCCTATTGAGTTGCTTCTGTTTGGTTGCTGTGAAAGTGAAGAAAGAATGTTAGAACAAGGAAAGGTGAGAAAGTGTTTGAAAATTCTTGAGCTACTTTTTTTTTAATATTATTTTTTTTAAACCTTTTTACAGTCTGTTTGCATTGAGTGATTTAGAGGGGAAAGAAGAAGAAATTGATTTCTCTTGGTTCTAATCATTTGTTTGAATTACTAAAGGGGAGAAAAATGAGAAGAAATGGAAATAAAGGGATAGAAATTGATTTCTGTCTTACAACCCATTTTTTGAATCACTCTAAAATTAGAGATGTGGGGGAGACAAAAGAAAAGAAATGATTATTAATTTTATATAATATTAAAATTGTCAATCTAGGTACAAAGAAATATAAAATATAAAAGATTATTTTGGTAATATAGGATTTAAGAGTTTCTTTTCTTTTATGGTTAATTACACTTTATCCCCTAAACTATCACCAGTTTTTGTATTTCATCCCTAAACTATTGATTTCATCTATTTAGTCCCTCAACTTTCTAGTGGTCCGATTGGAGATGATTGGACAAATCAAAAACGGCTATATCCTAATTTGATAGGCAAAAAGATAATTTTATAAATTAGACAACTTAAATCGAACAAACAACCATTAAATTGATTGTGGAGTGTAGTTTGTTCAAAATAATATGAAAAATGAGTGTTTTGTTGTATGATTTAAATTGTTCAAATTTGAAAATAATATTTTTTTCATTAAATTAGTGTTCAACAATTATTAATTTATATAATCTCTAATTGGACCAGATGAACAAAAATTAGAAACTTGAGGGACTAAATAGATGAAATCGATAGTTTAGGGATGAAGTAAAAAAGAAAAAAAGAGGGAATAGTTTAAGGGATAAAAGTGAAATTAATTCTTTCTTTTATGTAGTTTATCCAAGCAAAATTGGAGAGAAATTGCTACTATATATATTTTTTTCTCTCCAACTTAACCAAACAAGATAGGAGAGAACATAATTTTCTCTTTTCTATTTTAACTTAACAAATCATTTCTTTTCTTTTATCTCCTAAATTCCCAAACAAAGTGTTAGTGCATTGTGTTTCCAAAACCAAACCGAGGGACAAGAAGATGAAAATTTTGATTCAGACTAAAACTGTTGATTTGGTCTCTAAACTTCTCAACAAAACTAACTTGAAATTTATCTAATATGGTGAGTTGTAACAAATGTGATTTGTGCTTGTGTCTGGCTGTGTGTGCATATAGGCATATATTTGTAAAGCACATATGGAGATGCTTAAGTCCAACATAAATATGGAGTTTTTATCTTCTTGTGTCTTGTTTATAAGGGGTGACAATTGCTGTCATGTTTGTTTTCCTACCCAACATTAGCAATTATATGAACTACTCCAGACTCTCCAGATGCATTGCATGAAGTTCCTGTCTATAATAAGCATCTTTAAACATTGATTTCCCTTTTAACATTTGAGATCGTACATGCTTTGTACACATTAATTTAAAGAAAACAATAACAAATTACCGTAGAAATTAAAATTTGCTTATTGTTTCTGTTCTCCTTTAGAGGTTTAAGAGAAGGTGAAGGCTCAGATTAGCAAATTGAAAGAGCTTTTCCACCGGCTTGCTGGAATTCTTCGAGAATGCCCTGGCAGTATTATAGGTGGTGTGAGACATTACAAAGCTGGTACCATTTCTTTTCTGTTAGCTATTTATGGTTTGTGATTGTCTTTTTTTGTTTGTGTATAGGTATCACGGTGATTGGAGGAGTGAGACACAAACAGTAGTCTCACTGCTGGGCTTTATGCATTGGTTAGAAACAGGGAGTCTTCTTATGCATACCCAAACGGAGGAAAGACTAGGGTGTACATTTGAATTTTTGTTGTTTCTCTATCTCAAGAACATCTTATAAGTGGATAATGTGATTAATAAATTGAAAAAAAAACTGTTGATAAACATTTCTTTATGCTTTATTGGTTGCAAAATTGTTTATAACAGCTTAACTCATATACTTGTGATTTTGTTGCAAAAATTTAATGAAACCAAAGCTTTAGTTGGTTGACTTTCAATATTTACTTAGTTTTGATCTTTGTTAATTACTGTTATTTGAGATACAAGGTGCAACAAATTAGAAAGAAGCAAACAGAATCAGAAAACAGGTCTAATAGTATGATAGTACAACCATCCGATTCGATCCAGGATCCTTTTGGATAATAGGTTCCTACAACCTAGATTGCAATTTTGACAACTATCAGACTCCTCCTCCCTAGGGAGTTCTTCATTCAAATTTGAGGTCAAATGGACTTTCAGTTTTGTGTTCTTTAGAACTGTATCCTAATCACACAGAAAAGACATCAACAGTAATTGGAAAATGAAAAAAAAAAAGAAAAAAAAGAGAAGATTCCCCCCATACTGCTTTATGGGTGACTAGAACTTGTAACTCCTTAACAATTTGCATTGACCTCCAATCATCACTGCTTCATTCAATAATCAGGTTAGATTGCCAGAATAACCTCTTTTATTTTAATATTTTTAATCTTGTAATATTTTTTCTTGATCAATCATGCAGTGAATACTTCAGAGTTTGGCCTGGACATTGAAGACTATCTTATTGGTGAGTGATCTAAAGTTTACAATCCATGTCTTTCCTGAAGGATCACTGTTGTGAGTGATCAATTCATTCTGGTGCTATGTGTTTTGGGATGAAATTGAGACAAGTTAGCTGGTGGGTTTTTGTTGCCTTGCACTGGCCTTAGTTGCTGAGCATGTTTAAAAAATAATAATTGTTAAGCCTTCAAGAAATTGTGCAAATAGAACCAGAAGAAAACCACTGTGTTGGATGGGAAGTGGAAGCAATACTTTCTGCACCATACTCAAGCTCCACCATTCCTCAATCCTGGACATGTGGACAAAAATGTTGTTGTATTTTCTCCTGTTTAGAGGGGCAGTAACATAAAGTGGTCGGAAATGATTATTAGAAGCAGATTTATTCATAAAATTTTGTGTGATGGTTTTGCTGTCTGGAAGTATCATATTCTCCTTGAAGTTGGTGGTGGATTGAATGATGAAAAGGTTTTATGTAAAGTTTGTTACATAAGTCTGACTTTATTGATATATGTTTATTGTGTACATATTCATTTTAATGTAGACAATCATTTGCACAGGGCACATAAAAAATTAGTGTAATAATTGACATCAATTTATTCTGCCTTTTCAAGCATCTACTATTAATTTTATGTAGTTCCATCTATTTTTGACTAATGTATAATGTATTTGAACAAATTATAACTTCAGATGACTCTATATAAAGGATTTTTAAGGCAGTTTTATGTTATTATTTTTGTTTTTGAGTGACATAAAAGATGGTTGTTTGCTTAAGAGAAAGCTAACTTAGGGAATGATAATAATATAACCCATTTTATATTAATCAATCAAACTGTTACAAAGAAAGAAAGGCACTGATTAAGGAATTACAATATAGTCTAAATAAGGAAAAACAAATAATAGAATGATTCCAGTCATATATTCTAACACAGAGTGATTCCAATCGTATATTTTAACACTCTCCCTCAAGCTGGTGTAAAGATGTCTCTCATACACAGCTTGCCAAGAATGTTATGAAATGGTTTACTCCCAACTCTCTTGGTGAGGATATCAGCAAGTTGTTTATCAGACTTCACAAATGGAGTATATATTGTACCACTAGTGAACTTCTCTTTGATAAAGTGACGATCAATCTCTACATGCTTTGTCCAGTCATGTTGAACCGGATTGTGAGCTATGTTAATAGCAGCCTTATTATCACAATATAGACACATGGAGTCTCTTTGGTCAATTCCCGGATCACGCAATAACAACTTGATCCACAAGAGCTCACACACACCTTATCCATAGCTCTAAACTCAGCGTTTGCGCTGGACTTGGCAACTACATTCTATTTCTTACTTCTCCAAGTAACCAAATTGCCTCTAACAAAGGTACAATACCCTAAGGTGGGCCTCCTATCAGTCACAGAACCTGTCTAATCCGCGTTCGTATAAGCATCCACACTAAGATGATCACGTGTTTGGAAAAATAAAGACCTTTTCTAGGAGAAGATTTCAAATATTTCAAAATTCTCATAACTGTCGCCAAGTGTATTTCATGAGCAGCATGCATAAACTAGCTAACAACACTAACGACAATAGTAATATCAGGATGAGAATGAGATAAATAAATAAGCTTGCCTACTAGTCTCTGATAACTCCCCCTATCAACAGTTGCTCCCCCATTATCATCACAAAGTTTTTTATTAGGTTCCAGTGGCGTGTCACAGGCTCTGCTTCCAAGCATCCTTGTTTCTTTCAATAGGTCAAGGATATATTTTCTTGACAAATGAAAATCTCATCCTTGGACCTAGTCGCTTCAATTCCCAGAATGTATTTCAGGTTCTCCAAATCTTTGATTTCAAACTTACTTGCCAAATATTTCTTCAACAAAGAAATTTCTTCAACATCATCTCCTGTTAACACTATGTCATCCACATATACAATGAGAGTTGTAGTCTTTCTATGAGAGGAATGTTTAACAAACAGAGAATGATTAGCCTGACTCTGTTTGAAGTCATATTTTAGTATCGCCTGAGTGAACCTCTCAAACCAAGCCCTAAGGGACTGTTTGAGGCCATATAATAACTTCCGAAGTCGACATACCTTTCCCTTGGTTTGAAGAGTTTCAAAGTCGAGGAATGTCCATATACACCTCCTCTTCTAGGTCACTATGCAGGAAAGCATTCTTCATATTAAACTGATGAAGTGGCCAATCTAGATTAGCTGCCAGAGAGAGAAGTATTCTAACTAAATTAATCTTTATAACTGGAGCAAATTTCGTTTGGTAGTCCACCCCATAGGTCTAAGTGAAACCCTTTGCCACAAGTCAAGGCTTATACCCGCTCAATTAAACCATCAGCCTTGTGTTTCACAATATACACCTATTTGCATCTCACAGTTCGTTTGCCCCTGGGTAACTCAGTCAAATCCCAAGTGCCATGCTTATGAAGTGCTTTCATTTCCTTTACCATAGCCAGTTTCAACTCAAGAATAGTAAGAGCATCCTGAAATGATTAGGTGTACTAATAGAGGAAATTTTTGACACAAATGCTTTATATGAAGAGGACAAATGAGAATAGGATATAAAATTAGAAATTAGATGATGAATCTAAGATCTCACACTCTTTTTTTTGGCAATGGGTATATCAAGATCAGTAGGCTCAAACTTAGAGGTGGCAATATCAGGAGTTGGAGAGTTACTTGGACTTTCATCCAGAGAAGGAGACGTCAGTGATTGATCAAAATTGGTCTCTTGTATCCAAGTAACTTTCTGCCTTTTTTTATCCCTGACATAAACTTGCCTTTCTCTGTTCTTGGCAACATCAGATTCAATATTGCTAGTAATAGGTACCACTGGAGGCAGTACTGAGCCAGGAATAATAGAAGCAGCAGGACTCTCTTCACACCAAGGCTCCCCTGAAGAGATGATGGGGACACTGGACTGGACAAGAAGTAGGATTGAGACTCAAAGAAGGTGACATTCATGGGCACAAACCATTTACGAGAAGGAGGATGATAACATCTGTACCCGTTGAGTAGGAGAGTAATCCAAGAACACACACATGAGAGAACGAGAATCTAACTAACCTCGAGAAGGAGAATGATTGTGAACAAAACATACATAGTCAAAGGTTTTTGGAGGAATGGAAAACAAAGACTCAGAACTTAAGATAACCTGAAGAGGTATTTTTTTTGATAAGACTTGGGTAAGAAGACGGTTAATGAGATATGTTGCAGTAAGAACAACCTTGCCCCAATAGGGCCAAGGGACACCCATAGCAAAGCACATACAACAAGCCATATCTAGGAGATGACGATTTTTGCATTCGGCAACCCCATTCTGTTGAGGGGTGTCGTGCAAGATGTTTGATGGATAATGCCATGAGTGGAAAAATATTTGGCCAACCTAGAATTAATGTATTCACCCCCATTATCAGAACGCAAGACTTTGATAACTGTCCCAAATTGGGTACTAATCATCTAATGGCAGTTTTGAAACACAGAGAAAATCTCATTTTTTTCTTTCATTAGATACACTAAGTGGCACGTGAGTAGTCATCTATAAAAGTAATAAACCATTGATGACCCTTTATTAACAACACATGAGAGGGGTTCCAAACATTAAAATGAATTAAAGAAAAAGGAACATAACTTTTATTATTACTAGGAGCAAAAAAAGCTCAGTGTTGTTTGCCAAGTTAGTAGGACTCACAATGGAACTCGACTTTATTTTGGACAAAAATAGAAGGAAATAAATATCTAAGTAATAAAAAAGATGGATGTCTTAGATAGCGATGCCACAACCATAAATCTTCCGTGGTGGATGGAGACTAGATGGAATGATGAGCCAGTTGGTCAGTCTGATCCAGGATATAGAGAGCATTTTATGTTCTACCACTGCCAATCATCTTCTTCGTGATAAGGTCTTGGAAAAGACAAGAGTAAAGGAAAAAAGTTATGCTACAATTCAAATCTCGAGTAAGACGATTCAAGAACAATAGATTAATTGAAAAATTAGGAACATGTAACACAGAAGATAAAGGTAAGGAAGGGGTGGTAAGAATTAAACCTTTCCCAAAGATAGAGGAAATAGTACCATCAACAATCTTAATTTTATCCTGATTAGAGGTGGGTGTATAGTATGAGAAAAGATCAGAAGATCCAGACATATGATCGGAGGCACCGGAATCAATAATCCATGGCGAGGCCTTATGGAATAAGAAAACACTAGAGAAAGAGGCTAAGTTACTAGAACAGGCAAACGAAGAAGAAGATGCACCTAGAGGAACCGAAGATTGGCGATCAAGTAGATGGCGCAAAGCATCCTCAAACTCAAAAGATGACATACTAGAGACCAGATTAGAAGTCTGCATAACTAGAGCTGAATCATGTGTCTCTACAGCACTGGACTGATGAGCATGAGAGTAAGACCCACGTCCTCTCGACTGACTAGAATGACTGCCTCTATGACCTGAGCAATTCCCTCGACCTCCAGATGGAGTACTATGAAGCTTCCAACTAATCTCCCATGTATGCCTCGGCTGATGACATTAATCACAGAATAAAGTATCCTTTCCTGAAGGACGAGGAGAAGGAAGCGATAAATCAACCCCATCCTAATAAGGTGCAAAAAGTAATGTTGAACGGTTTGTAGAAGTTGGTGGTAGTTTAGTAGAACGACTACTCTCTTCATTCTGGACATAAGTAAAGGTCTCTTGAAGAGACGGAAGAACATCCATGCCAAGGACACGACTTCGAATCGGGTCAAACTCTATATTGAGGCCTTTTAGAAATTTGAAGACCCTCTCCTGTGCAAGAAACTTCTGGTAACTAGTGGAGTCAACGGTGCAGACAGGCTTGTAATCCAGGAGATGGTCAAGGCGTTTCCAACCATTAGTCAGAAAGGTGTAATACTGAAGAACTGTCTGCTCCCTCTAGACTCAGAGCTCAATAGACTGGCGCAATTCGAATGTCTGAGAAAAATTCCCCTTTTGGGAATATGTAGCAGCTACTGCCTCCCAAACATCCTGGGCAATCTCTATGAATAAATAATCTTCACCAATCTCAAGGACTATAGAATGAATGAGCCATCCCATGATCAAAGAGTTGATAATTTCTCATTGATCATAGTCAGAATCAATAATATCTGGTGCTTGAACTCTCCCATCAACATAGTGGTGATTTTAAGGCTAGGGTTTAGGTTCTCAGAAGTAGTAGTCATAACAAGTAGTGGATTCACTAGATGGGTCAGCCATTTTTATGCCACTATCTTAACCAAAACACAGCACTAATCACAATAATGGAAGGAGGGAATGGAGTGAGCAAGCAATCTCAAACCCAAACTACTATGGGAGCATAACACTTAGGTAAATGGGGCCATTTACAACCCCAAAAAATAAATAAAAGGGTAAAAAGGTGAAACTTTAATCAAAATAACAGTTTGGGGGTTTAACCACAATAAAAAATAGAGTATAAATAACGAGGATGAAAAAATAGTGTGTTATCAGACCATAGGGTGTTGAGAGACACTTAAAGGCCATCACAGAGGATTGGAAACACACAGGGAAGACAAGAGGGAAGTCCAAGAAACACCTATCAGACCATGAAGACGTCGGGAAATACCTAGGAGGGTGTTGGCGAATCTGTCTGACCCAGGGCTTGAAGAGAGAGAAGTCCCACAGTGGTTAGGGCTGGTGCAAGGCCTAGAGAGGCTCAAGGGTGCACCAAAACACTGCCCAGCAGTGTCGCAAGCCCTAGAGGAGGCTTGAGAGAGTGCTGAAAAAGACTGGAGAAGGCTTGGAGAAGATGAGTGGCTGTTGGAGTGGTGATTGGTGGTTGTCAGAAGGGTGATTGGTGGCTGTGGGAGGTATGGTAGTGAGATAGGAGCCTCAAGGCTCTGATACCATGTTTTCTTAAGAGAAAGCTAACTTAGGGAATGATAATAATATCACCCATTTTATATTAATCAATCAAACTGTTACAAAGAAAGAAAGGCACCGATTAAGGAATTACAATATAATCTAAATAAGGGAACACAAATAATAAAATGATTCCAATCATATATTCTAACAGTTACTACCATTGCTTTCTTTTAATCCATGATTCTTTTCAGGTGTCTGTTTTTCATAAATGTACTGATAGTAGCAACCTTTCTTATTATGCAGGAATTTGTTTCATATCCAATGAATTGGTAAGATCCTTCTCTTAGCTGCAAAAAATATGCCATTCTGTTGCTTACTCTAATAATTTATACAATTTCCACTTATATCATCTGAAATTGTTTACTACTTACTGTGATTTTGGATGTTCTGGGAAACTTGAAATTCTGAAATTCGTTAGTGAAACTCCAAGAATGCAAAAGAGACATTTAGTCTGTCAGTATTTAAATAGATGAACATTAGGAACTAGTTTTCAGGTTTTGGAGCATAATGCTCATTGGTTTTCATAAATTGCAAATCAAGGGGACTCTTAAAGGAATCATTTTTTCTTCTACAAGTTACACTGAACGAGGCTTTTTAAGGCTTTTTTGTGGTCATGATACCATATGTTTCAGATGCTACTGGTTTTGCTGAAAATAATCTCATTTGGTATTGTTCATAATATGCTGTATAAAGCTTTTACCTGAATCTCCATGGGGAAACTTGAAATTCTGAAATTCGTTAGTGAAACTCCAAGAATGCAAAAGAGACATTTAGTCTGTCAGTATTTAAATAGATGAACATTAGGAACTAGTTTTCAGGTTTTGGAGCATAATGCTCATTGGTTTTCATAAATTGCAAATCAAGGGGACTCTTAAAGGAATCATTTTTTCTTCTACAAGTTACACTGAATGAGGCTTTTTAAGGCTTTTTTTGTGGTCATGATACCATATGTTTCAGATGCTACTGGTTTTGCTGAAAATAATCTCATTTTGTATTGTTCATAGGCCCCGTTTGGTAGAGCTGTGGGAAAGTGATTATAACTTATAGCCTAACAGCTTATAGCTTATAACTGTGAACATATGTTGATTTTTGACTTATAAATTAAGCTTCTCCTCCCCCACTCAAAGAATAAATTGATTTTTGACTTACAAAAAGCTATAAGCTGTATTGTTAAGCTGAACCAAACACATCAAAATAGCTTAAATTAAGCCAAAAGCTGAAATAAGGTGGAAACAAGCCCTACCAAACAGGGCCATAATATGCTGTATAAAGCTTTTACCTGAATCTCCATGTCTGCATTCAAAAGTATTCAAGTTGGCTATTGCTGAAATTAGAACATCACAATTGGATTTTGCAGCCAAGGTATGTGGTGAACCAAGTGACAGCTGGGGATTATGATTGCCCAAGAAAGGTGTTGAAGTTCTTAACAGATCTTCATGCAGCATTCCGCATGCTTAATCTCCGGAATGATTTATTGCGCAAAAAGTTTGATGGTAGGATTTTTTTTGTTTTTGTTCTTTTTCACATTCCTTGTTAGATTATTATTCAGGACCTACCACTAGAGCCCTTGTTTTCCTCTGCTCTTCCTTTTATGGACTGTTTACCTTTAAATGCCCATTTGCGCCTTTACGAACTTAATTGTTTCTTGTAAGTTGATTTTAGGGTTTACTTGCATGAATCTTATCCATGACAGGAATGAAGTATGACCTGCATAGAGTTGAAGAAGTTTACTATGATGTTAAAATCCGAGGCTTGACAGCTAATGGGGATTCAACAAGAGATCTAGGAATCCAAGGACAGTCATAGGTTAGACAAGTAAGTATGTACACCTTATATCATTTCTGTTCATATCGTCACTTGTCCATTTGTATATCTTGGGGATAAATTTGTTATTTGCCAAAAAAACCCTGAATTGGTCAAAGAGGCACAATAGAATGGGAAGGAACAAAAAAATTGATTTGGACAAGAATTGGTGCTTTTAGTGTTTATAAAATCTCTGCTTGCATTGTACTAATTGGTGAAATAGTTTTCGGTACATTTGCAGATTCTAGTTTAATTCCCAGCATAATTTTAACTCTGTTCTACTAATCTGAGATTCGGTATATTAAGTCAAAATTTTTTTAGAGTTAGTGATAATGAAGCTATGAGTAACGGTATACAATTAGAATTTGGGAAAAAATGATATATGTTATTGAATGAATGTGGGTTTGTTCATCTCTTGTATTGATCCACACAATAAGTGCTATTTTGTGTATATGTAGGACCCATATAGACGCAGGTTTGATGCTTATTGTGTATAATCACATCAGAAGAGAAAATGGTGATACATAGTGGATCTTTATGAATTTTTGTATGAAATTTTTATACAAAATGATGATGATTTACTATGGTCCTACCATTTCCAAACAAAGACCTATATGTAGAATTTGACCAAGTCACAAGAAAGGAATAACTGAGGCTGTTTTAAGCATTTGATAATTCAATTCAATACTAATGCCACCAAAATTTTCTTGACTTTATGCCACCAACATTTTCTTAATTTTTAGTTTGTATTGAGTTATTAACTTTTTAAATACTACGAATTATGGTTATCAAACAGATGCTTAGCCTCTCACATATCAAACACTACCTCAACCTATTCACCACCACGAACATAATCTCCACAACCTCCACTCTACAGCTACCGTCACAACCATCACCCCCACCCCCACCACCATCAACTAATTTCAATTTTTTTTTACTATCGAATAACTTAATTAAATTTAGCACTTGAATTTCTGTAAATAACAAACAATTATTCAAATTAAAAAAAAATTCAATATTTAGTTTTTAGAATTTAATTTTAAGTTTTTAAATTTCCAGAATGAGATAATTTTTAGAAAAATATTTGAGAACATAAACAGCATGATATAAACAACAAACATAGCAAGTAGAAGAGAGATCTAGAGGAGAACACAGACCTCATTAAGTTATTGAGGAAGACATTATCGACATCAAACTGACCACTAATGAACAACAACACAAGGGTGTATGTTTGAATGAGGAAATTATTAATACAGTGGAATTGAGGGAGGAATATTAGTGTAGTGGTATTAAATCGGAGATGTAAAATAAATTGTATTTGTTTGTGCATTATATAATAATATAACACTGCTGCATACCCCCAGTGGGAGTCGCATCCCCAGTGAGGTGTCGCGCCCTCACTGGCTGAAACCCAAAAAAAAAAAAAAAGAAAAAAAAAAAGAAGAAAACAATTTTTTTTTTGTCCAATTATGGAGTGCCACCTCACTGGGGTTGACCCCCAGTGGGTGTATGAGGCATTTTTCATAATAATATTAGTTCGTTGGGATTAAATATATGATATTACAGAAAAGTTCTTGTTATATAATAGGTGATTTTGTTATTTTTGTAGAGGGGCAAAATAATAAAATGAAGTCTTATCAATGTTTTAAGAGAGTAGCGTCAAATGATCAACTTCGTGCAATTGAATCTCTTTATTTCTCTAGATGGTGAATTATCATTGCGTCTAAATTTTTTTACTTTAAGGGTGAGTTTTATCATAAGGTTATTTTATTGTGTTTTGAAAGTCATGAGTTGAAAATACACATTTTGTTCATGAAACCCTTTCTCAAATTTTACAATAATGTGATAGCCGCTATTGCTGTCTTTAGTTGGGGGATTTGAGAAGTGATTTGGAAAAGGAAATGAAAAAATTAGGTGAAATGTTCACATTTTACCTAGTTTCACACATCTTTTCTCTTTTTATTTTCAAATCCCTCCCCAAATCTCCTAAGCAAAAACAGCATAAGTGAATTATTCTTTAATTATTATATTATTATATTTTCATAATAAAAAAATTTGAACTCAAATGTGTATGCATGACACCCCGAGCCAAAAAGTTATTATATACATGTTTTAGTTTAAAAGTCAAAAAGTTATTAAAAAAATCAAAAAGTTTATAACTTATATTAAAAAAATCAAAAATTATTTTTTCTCTCAACTTTTTTTTATATCTTTTTGTAAAAAATTGAAAATTCATTTCAAATATATTAGTTTTTTTATCTCATATTTTAGTCAAAAAATTACCAAAATAACTTGTTCCCAAATGAAATCTAAATGTCCCAATCAAATGCAGTATAAGTGAATTATTCTTTAATTATTATATTATTATATTTTCATAATAAAAAAAATTTGGACTCAACTGTGTATGCATGCCAACCGAGAGGAAGCATGGGATGGAGTTATGGAAGGTTGGATTCGGTTTGGTGGTTGGGTCCAAATTAAAATGTAACAGCTAATAAAAAAGCCTGCTATTTGCAAGTGCAGAGGTCCTCTAGTCTGGAAAAATTGTGGCGGAAATTGCATTCTAGTGGAGAAATAATTGTATTTTAATAATGGTGTATGCCTTCAGTGAGTCAACTTTATTCTTTATTCTTATATTTGGTGCAAATATTTTCTATATTTTAAAATTGCGTTAAATGTTTTTTGTCAAATGTAGTCCAATTATTTTTTGACTCACTTATTTGCAAAATTTAACCAAAATTTAAGTGTCTCATAGTCACCATGTGTTCCTAATCACCCATTGTCATGTGGCGTGTTATTCTCCATCGCTAATAGAAATCAGTGAATTTTAAGGCTAATTTGACAAGTTTTAAAAAAGTCAATAAATCAAAAAGTCACTATCTTATTTAAGTCATATCATCTTATTTAAGTCACATCATCTTTCTAACACATCACTTCAAACTCAATTTAAATCTAACTCATATTTCATAAAAAGTTAAAAAGTACGCTTATTTAGATCATCCCAAACAATCCCGTACCATCTTCGCCAATTCATTCAATTTTGGGAATCATGTAGCCATGCCCTAAAACACCAAATAACTTCTTCCTGCTTTGTGCAGGCTCAGTTCAATCAAATCAAATTACACAGGGATGTAGGGACATAATACATATACAACAATGATACTTTCTTCTAAAATTAGAGTTCTAATTGAGTTTTAGTGAGTAAGAAAGTCCAAAAAAAAAAAAAAAAAAACCAAAATATCACATCAGATGGCCTCAGATATACATTAGAACTATTAGAAGTCACAACTCTAAAACATTTTTGATACACATATGTATACACCCACATACAGACTGGCTGGTGGGCTGAGGTGCATAGTAGTCCCCTGAGGTGTCACCAACCAGCTGTCTCAAATCTCAATACCTCCCATTGATGAGCTTAACATAGTGGTCCAACCCATCCAACCCAATATGCTCCCCATTCTCCTCCCTTGATGTTGTTTGGTGCGATTGGTAAAATAAATTATAGATAATTGTTAAATTATTGAGTAATATTTGATAAATAAGTTAAAAAATAACTTTTTAATATATAAATATCCTACTCTTGTAAATAGTAAATTGAATTAATCTTTATTTTTTGTGATTAATTACTAGTCCACATCTTCGATGAAAAAAAAAACCTAGTCCACAATCTACACTTTGGCCTTTTTTATTTTCAAGAAAAAAAAAAATTTTCTATGGGTATAATCATAAATTAATATACCTACTGCAAAATTGATAATTAGAAGTAGGAAGTTGGCAGTTTTTCAGAATTAACTTTTGGGCTGTGCTACATCCCCTAATTTGGGGAGCCCTAATCCCCCGAAAATTGAGACCAAGGCAAAAAAAAAAAAAAAAAAAAAGCCCAGAACGACGTCGTTTTGGGGATAAGGGGGATTAGGAGGGACTTTTTTAGGGCTCCAAATCATTTCCCTTAACTTTTTTAAGTTAAAAAAAGATGTTATAATCAGAAACTATTTAGAATAAATTTAATCAAATAGTTTAAAATAACTTTTTAAAAGCTAAAATCTATAAGTTGGCTAAGTTAATATGCACCAAACACCCCCACTGGGGAGTTATTTGACACATCTTATTTGAGCTGGTTATAATTTTTTATTTTGATAGCCCTACTAGATTGTACAAATAGTTTAAATAAATTAAAAATTAATTATTTAAAAACTAAATGAGAGAATTGTGTGTGGTCGTATTCGTTATCTTCCAGAAATCACCGCCAGTTTCTTTGAATTTTAAGATGCCCCATTCTGATCATGCCTATCCTATATATATGTGCATAATACCCGTCAGTTTTAGCACAATAATTTAGGGGTGAGAATTGTGTGTGGTCGTATTCGTATTCGTGTTGTATTATTTTACGTTTTTATTAGAATTTATCAATATTAATTTGACTCATTTAATTAATTGTTTCAAATATTGTGATACTAAGCCAAACTATTTATAAATGTGTTATATGAAAGACACTGGTTCTATCCTATTTAATAAAGAAAAATGTGTGAGAGTTTGAATGACCCGAATGATACGGAAAATATTATCTTACCGGTAAGAGAATAAAAAAAAATCCTAAAATGACGTCGTTTTGGAATTTTGAGCCATTCGAGCCGTTGATATTTCGAGCTACGTAGTGGAGTTGTTCAATAAATAACAAAGGATAAAATCAAAACTTTTGATTAAATTAAAGAAAATTCAAATTAGAAAGAACATATAAAAGATAAAAATGAAGTGAGTATTTCAATATTTATTGAGATAACATAATATTATTAGATACGATCATGATGATATTTATATGACAATTAAATGAGTTAATTACCAAATTCGTATGATTTTTAAATTTAAGTCCATAACTGATCAATCTTAATTCGTGTAATGTTTGTTTAGTGTAGATTATTGTAAACAGAAAGTTAATAGAGCAAATATGTCCCCGTGTGATTGTGGATTAAAATACAATCATTAACACCGTTAACTATAGATGTGAAATGACTAAAATACCTTCAAATCTTATATTTTTTAATATTTTCTTTCTCCCTCATCTCTCACACACATAATTTATAAGGTCCAGTATTAATTTAATTAAATCACAATTAATTATAAATTCTTAATTTTTTATTCTAATTTTAATTTAATTATATTTTAGATCACGATTAATCCTAAATATTTAACTATATATTGTAATTACTGACCTTTTAATCTAATTTAAATTTAATTATATTTTAGATTACA